ATTGTAATGTTGAAAGTCAAGAATCTCTTAAAAAAAAAAACAGGAAGTGTAATTGTTCATTATTATTACACAGTATTTATATAGCGCCAACAGTTTGCTCAGCGCTGTACATTACAATGGGAGACAATACATGAGACAGTACAGTAACAATACAATAAAATACATGAGGGGTTCGAGGGCCCTGCTCCTTGGAGCTTACAATCTAGGAGGGAGGGGAGAGTGGTACAGGAGGATATAGCTGTAGGGAAAAGAGTGGTGGGGAGAGCGGAGGCGATCAGCAGTTAGGTGAGGGCAGGGTAGGCTTCTCTGAAGAGATGGGTTTTCAGGGTGCGCCTAAAGGTGAGGAGGGTCGGTGACAGTCTGATGGATTGGGGTAGTGAGTTCCAGAGGATTGGGGAAGGCCTGGAGAAGTCCTGGAGGCGGGCATGGGGGGAGGAGGAGACCAGGGAACTGGAGAGTAGGAGGTTTTGTGAGGAGCGGAGAGTGCGTTTTGGGTGGTAGATGGTTCATAGCAACTAATACGATTATTTTTCTTTATCATTAATATTTATCATTATTATTTATCAGATTATAATCAGATAATAATCAGATTATTTATCTTATTATTAGGCGTTACTGCAATTTTCATGCATACTGTGCTTAAAGATTTTCTGTTTAGATAATATGATAATAAAATGATTATATAATTATGGGATCTTTTCCATTGAAACGATTTCTATATTTCCTAAATTCTAACATTCATCAGCTGGCAGCCATCCTAATTAGCCATGTGTTCTCTTGCCATTTTACAAATACCGCCAATGGCAAAGTCATTCATCCCATTCACATCTCATCTTCTCTTCTTCTGTCAATGACTACTTATTTCCATTGGAAAAAAGTAGCAAAACTAAAATTTACATGAAAAAGAAAAGATTTAATCCTATAACAAACTAAATCTCCACTCCTGAACTGTTCTAATTACACAGCCTTTCCTCGTAAGGATAAGTTACATTTTTATTATTTACTGTACTCTCAATGTTAGAACAGTGGTGTCAGGCCATAGGGCTGATCATATCCTGGTACCTGTACTGATAACAGATGCTCAACAACTTTCACACACCATGTACAGTGTGGTCAGGACTACATGAACAAGAAGTAAAATCTTAGCTAACTGACATTTTAGTTCTATTCCAGCAAGGGCCATGGATAAGGGGCTACCATCAGTCCTCTTGTACGGGGCCCAGGCCAGCAGGGGGGCCCAGGCACCTGGGTGAATCTGGGTGAATCGGATGTGGGCAGGGAGGGTGATGGGCACGGTGGGGGGACTATTAGTGGAACTGATGCTCTGTATGGCTTTCTCTGCAGCATCTGAAAGCTGGATTCTTCTCCTCTCCCTCCAGCTGGTCTTTAGCTGCTGCAGAAAGAGCCATACAGGGAATCAGTTCCGGTAATTGTTCCCCACCCACCATGCCAATCACCCTCCCTGTGCACATCTGATTCACCCAGCTGCCTGGGCCCCCACAGCCGGCTTCCCTCCTCTCCTTCCCACCTACAGCTCCAAGCACACAATAGGATCCTTCAGGATGGAGAGTGGGGGAAGGGCCCGATAAATATGTCACATTAAACAGCCCCTTCGTTTCATGAATAAACACATGTGTGATCGGTACTGATCAATCACTGTGTTCAATCATAATTGAAGCATAGTAAACTGTGTTTTTTTTTTTTTTTTTTTTAAGGGGGCCCTGTCAGGTTGGTTGTATGGAGCCCTGTGGTTTCTAACAGCAGCCTTGATTCCAGCAGCCCAGACAGAGTATTAAATATCAGCCCTGACCTCAAGTATAGAACATCGTCCCAAAAGCACTGTGGAATAACCACAATTTTTGTTTTTTTTTTTTGGGAAAGCAATGGCTTCCTATCTGGTGTCATTCTGTTAACACAATTCTTATTGTATCCTCCATTTGCAAACAATAGAGTTGATTCATTAAAAGGTTTCTATCATGAGAGATTAAAAGAGGCCTCCATTGCTGACCTTGTTTTTGAAAAAGTTTGTTTCTTGGCTATCATTCTGATGCTTTTTCTCCAGTGCTGTCTTAGACCTGGGTCAAATATATATGAATTTGATGTGTTTTGAACCGATGACATGTCAATCAAAATCCTTTGCTATGAAGCTGGATCACATATGTGTGTGTAGTCTCAGTGCGATTTCCAATGTCATACACTTTAGCAATTGTTACCTATATTTTCCTCGTGCTCATTCCTGGATGTATGGCTCATCAATGGTGGATGCTGTAGCAACTACCAGCTGGGACTGGAAACATCATAGACAAACGTACATATTCCCCAGCACACCATGGATCTCCAATATGGTCCAAAAAGGTTTTTATTCATCACATGCCTGACGAAGGGGTCCTGCATGGCTCTGAAACACTGCACTTTTAGTGATGTGATCTTTTTCAATTAAAACCTTTTTTGGACCATATTGGAGATCCATGGTGTGCTGGCGAATATGTACATTTGTATACATGTGAACAATTTGCATTGGAATCCCACCTTAACCACTGAACAAAATTGCATCAGACTCTTTTACAAATCGCACTGCAAACCAGGCCCGCAACATATGTGAACCCAGGCTTAGTCGCTGACCCAGTACAAACATGGAGATAATGACATATGACACTTTTTTACCACTCATTTATTTTACAGCATGTGTTTTTCTAGGTGTACGACATAAAAATGCTGAAATCAGACACTGCTAGCTATTTAGCATCGTCAAAAGCAGGCCCAATGGCCACCTTTATCTCCTAACTATTTTATGACTACTTGCCCATGCTGGTTCCTGGATCTGAAGGAGGACCCCTTGCTCCTTTGGCTTTTATCTTTCTTGGTTGCCATCTTGGCTGGAAGTGTACGGGCTGGCCGTGTTCTGTTGTTCTTCCTCCCCTCTATCTGGCCCAGTGTCCAGCTTGCTCCTCCTCACGCTCAACTTGTGTGGGGAGAGCCTACTCAGACTTCTTTTATAACATCTTTCCAGGATCGGCTATTAAAGTTTTCAATTGATGTTGTGACAATCCCGTGGTGTCCTTGATGAAGCAGCTATAAAACTGCAGAAAATGTCGACATTTATCAGCCATGTATTTGTATGGTTTTTATGCAAGTTGATATGTAAATACGTGTATTAATTTTTTTCGATGTATTCCCCAGCCTTTGAAGTCCCTTTACACTGAGGGTATAACCCTCTCTTTTTCTTTGGATCTTATGAATTTAAAACTAGAAAAAGGAAAAGAAGCATAAAAATGAAGTTGCTGCCTATAGCTACCAATCAGGGCTCAAGCAAGAAGTCCCTAGCCCAGTAGCGACATTACTTTAGACCCACCAATAGCCCTGGTGTGCACAACAGGGAAAAGCCTGGTGGGAGTCGCATGACAAAAGAAAAAAAAACAAACAAACAAAAAAGGTAGTGATAGAGAGGCGCTGGACATGGAATTTCACAGGTTATCAACTCGTTTCCTAAGCCCAACTTCTGTTCTAAGCTATGTGTGTCCACAGACACACACAGCATTGCTCGGCCACGCCCCCTGCTTCTTCCTCACAAGATTTGACTGACCATTGGCTCCTGCTCCTTCCTAAGTCTCTGTGAGTCAAGAAGAGAACAGGGCTGCAGACAGGCACATCGCTGAATCGAGAGAGGACTTAGGTAAGCGTTTGAGGGGAATAGTTAGTGGCAGGGCTTTTTTTCAGCAGGAACATGGGAAAACACAGTTCTAGCACCTCCAGCACTGAATGTATCTAACGGCAATGGGTGCTGGGATGAGTTGGAGGATCTATTGATGCTGGCTGCTGGGGGTCTATTGTCTCAGAAGGATCTATTTTTTTGGGGGGGCTACATTTGCTGGGGGGAGACCTATTGCTGGTGGGGTATTTGTTGTTGCTGTTGGGGTCAACTGTTGCTGGGAGGGATCTACTGTTGACAGAGGGGTCTATTGTTGCTGGCTACGGGGAGATCTATTGCTGCTGCCATAGGACTATTGTTGCTGGGGGGTATTTTGTTACAAGTGATCAGTTGTTGCTGGGGGGGGGGTACACTTGCTGGGGAGCCGCTGTTGCTGGGGTCTACTGTTGTGGGTGGATCTATTGTTGCTGGGGGTCTATTTGATTGCTTTTCTTGTTATCGTTAACAAATTCCATACAGGTGACTGAATATATTCTCTGAAAGGGGTGGCACTGGGAGGTGGGTAGGGGGTGGAACCCAGAAACAGTGCTCGGAAGTGAGTAGGTGTCACAAGTTAGCCTGCAGTTTCTTGTTTGTGTGTTGTCACCTCCTTGCTGCAGTGTTGTTCCTGATCCCTTTCACATGTGTGGTTTGTCTGTGCTCATCTATGGGCGTCGTCTGCTGTTCTCTGGGTTTTATTTCCTTCCCTTCCATCGCTTCCTGGTCCACCTCCTTGTTTGCCTATCTATATAAGACATGTTCAGTCTAGGCCACTTTGCCTGAGCAACTTCCTAGTTGTCTGAGCACCTGTGTGTTGCTCTCTCCTGTATTCTGTATTTGACTACTCATGTACCGACCCCATCTTCGTTCTCTGACTGTGCTTGTTTTCTGCCCGTCCTGACCTCAGCTAGTCTATCGGATTTCTGTTGGTCTCCTCCCATTGTACTCTGCTCCCGCGAATGGTCTTCACATCCTCAGCTGGGTGTACCCGGGGGCCGCGACCTGGTCCCAGATTGCTGCAAGTCCATCCCCACCATCAGGAGCTCTGGTAAAAAAGCAGGCTAGGGCTTAGACTCTGCACCCTGGGGAACCCCAAGTTTACTATCTACAAGGGCTCACTACCACAGGTGCTGACAGTAGGGGACGGAGACAAGGGGTGACTCGGAAAGTGGGAGTTCCTGCACCTATTATCTGAGAAACAAAAGCCCTGGTTAGTGGAGTGTTTTTTTTGTCCTTAACGCAGGGAGTGCATTAAGGTAAAAAAAAAAAAAAAAACACTCAGACTTTAAAACCACTTTAAAGTGTTACTAAACCAAGCACCCTGCATTCACTATATCTGGTCTCCCACAGTAAACAGAACATGGAAATGCTATTTTTTTTAGTAAATATAAACTGCTAAATACCTTTTATCATCAGCAGTTTGAGCAGTCTTGTGACTTCTATTAGTGTCCAGCACAGCACTGGTTAAAGCTTGCAGGAGGAGATTTATTTCTGCTCTAGGAGGATGCGAAACCCTTGACCCTCTAACACCAAACTGAGCATGCGTATGTGACTACGGGTTCAGTCTGTCTTATCAGGTGGACATTTGAACAAAAGAAAGGGCAGAGAAAACAGGACCAAATGGCCTTTTTATATAATGAAGAGGATTAACCCCTTAGGTTCCACAGTGAATATGACAAGCATGCTTACTGCATATACAGACAGATTTTACTGCTGTGGGTTTAGTAACACTTTAAGGGATGGTTTGAAAGTGAATGCTTAGAAAGTACTGAAGCCAGAGGCTTAGCTTGAAAGTCAGGAAACTAACATTTTCGGAAGGAGGACAGCAATTGCAGGCTAGAATCCTTTTTTCACAAGTTATTTTTTACAGCAATCTTGTCAATTTATTACACAATTTTGCCAGAATAAAAACAGCTGATTTGTGCTTGGTGGCAGTTATAAATTTGCGCCTTTTGTACCATGGCCAAAAACGAGGATCACCACAACAAGCTCCATTAGCCAATGAACAGGTTAAAATCAAGCCACACAAAAATAAGCTAATAAATTAAATCACCAAAGAAAGTTAACAGCAGAAATTCAATTATACATTTACAATTAGGATTTAACAGTAGACAGTGAGTCATCGTTCCCTTTCATTCGAGAATATGTAGCTAGGGGATATGCATATTTTTATTTTAAAGCAACATAAGAAGCTTGCAATAAAAGATAATTACCATTAACCCTCAGAGGTTATGCAATTATTTCCTTCTTATGTAATATACACTTTTAGTGCTTTTCTGTCCTAGTTCATACGTGCCAAAAGGACTGACAGCGTGTCACGTTAGACCAATCTCAGTCCCGCACTTGCGGCATCACTGGTTATTTGCACTTCAAGAATCTATCTTCCTAGTGCCACAGATCCAATGATAAAACTACTTCAAATACTTAATACAAAGCTGCGTGCATTCCAACAAGCTATGCGTGACCTTTAAAAAACGAATGAAAGGATATGTACAGCAAGGATATAAGTTCTTATATGAAACAGCTTTTTGTTACATTTACAGAAAACATGAAAAAATGTCCTACCTACAAAACTCGGAATATTAAAATAATGTACGGCACCACCTGCCTAGAGTTTGTATGTTCTCCCTGTGACTGCGTGGGTTTCCTTCGGGTACTCCGTTTTCCTCCCACACTCCAAAGACATGCTGGTAGGTTAATTGGATCTTGTCTAAATTGGCCATAGTATGTGCATGGATGTAATTTAGGGACCTTTGATTGGACACCCCTTGAGGGTTAGGGACTGATGTGAATGTACAATATATATGTAAAGTGCTGCATAAATTGACAGCGCTATATAAGTACCTGAAATAAATAATGTACAGCATAAGCCAGGTTTCATTTGGAGGCTTTTAAACTGTTGTTAGGCTAGGTTCACATATGTGTGGGTGGTGCCGCTTCGGATCTGCACATAAATCCATGCAGCCGCACCACCCGCACAGAGGAATGCAGACCCATGGGTGAAAGCCATTGATCCTAATGGCACGCCGCCTGCACTGGAAATCGCAACCGTATTGGGAACAGAGGTTCCAGTGAGGGCTGCGTTTTCAGAAGAAGTGCAGAGACTTTTTCCCTGCGTGTCCCGGGGCATGGGAGTCCATTCAAATGAATGGGCTATTGTGCCCGCATAAAACACGGACCACAGATATGTGAACAAGGGCTTAAAGTTGAACCACAAAAGACACCCTTGCAGTGGGGCCTGCCTGCACTTCAACAGTTAAATGCTTGTTAGATCTAGGACAGGGGTCTTCAAACTTTCTAAACAAAGGGTCAGTTTATTGTCTTTCAAACTTTAGGGGGGCCGACCTGTGGCCAGTGGGAGTGGATAATTTATTGGCATCATTGGCAGTAAACATTGCCAGATTTGGCATTAGGGAGAGGAATAGTGCCCTATCATTGGGAGGAACAGAGCCCCATTATTGCTGTCAGTGGGAGAAATGGTGCCCATTTGTTGGTGTCAGTTGGCAGAACAGTGTTTTGTATCAGTGGGAGTACCCCAAGGGCAATATAAAGGCAAGCAAAGGGCCACATCTGGCCCCAGGGCCGCAGTTTGGAGACCACTGGTCTTGGGAGTCAAGTAATAAGTTGCAATACTTGGCTTATACTTCTATCAGGCGTCCTGCATGCTGTGCAACAAATCCCCTGAAACTTCTTTTAACCACTTGCCTACCAGGCACTTTTACCCCCTTCCTGCCCAGGCCAATTTTCAGCTTTCAGCGCTGTCGTACTTTGAATGACAATTGCGCGGTCATGCAACACTGCACAAAATGTTATTTTTTTGAGACAGATAGAGCTTTCTTTCGGTGGTATTTAATCACCACTGGGGTTTTTATTTATTGCTAAACAAACTAAAAAAGACTGGGAATTTTGAAAAGAAAAAAATAATTTTTTCTTAGTTTCTGTTACACAATTTTGTAAATAAGTAATATTTATCCCTCAACGATGTGCGCTAATGAGGCTGTAGTGATGGGCACTGATGAGGAGGCACTGGCAGGCATCACTGGTGGGCACTGAAAGGCAGCACTCATATATGGCACTGATAGGCAGCACTGATAGGTGGCACTAATGGGCAATGAGTGGCACTGATAGGCAGCATTGCCTGGCACTGAAAGGCAGCTCTGATGGGCCCTGATATGGGCATTGATGTGCACTGGTATGTGGCATTGATGGGAACTGACAGGTGGGAATTATGGGCACTGAAAGGCAGCACTGATGGGGCTACACTGATCATCATGGCCCTGATGATTATTATTATACAGTATTTATATAGCGCTAAAAGGTTTGCTCAGCGCTGTACATTATAGTGGGGGACAGAACATGAGACAATATAGTAACAAAACAAAAACACGAGGGGGTCGAGGGCCCTGCTCAGTGTAGATATCCCCTCTGAGGAATTCCGCTTACCGGCTCTCCTTTCCTCATGCATTTTCAGCATGAGGAGAGGACTGTCGATAACCAGCATTTCTTATTTACATGCGATCAGCTGTGTTTGGACACAGCTGATCACATGATAGAGCCTGTGTCATCGGCTCTTTACTGCGATCGGTGATCCACTGTGTCCCAGGGAAACAGCGCACCACCAAACACCGTGCCCGCGCGCCCCCGGGAGTGGGAGGACGTCATATGCTGTCCTCCCAGAACAAGAGAGCCACCGCCTGCCCGTGATTTCCTTATATGGCAGGCGGGAGGTGGTTAAAAAGGTGCTTTAACCGGCAGTCACATGCTGATGTCATCATGAATAATGCCGGACCAATAGCCCTGCATTGTACATAAGGACAGTAAAAACCTGCTCACAGCCAAGAGGTGAGCGTTCAAAGCCTGCCAGAGCAACAAACAGGTACATTTTACAGCTTGTTCCTCTACCCCTAGACTTAAAGTGTTACTAAATCCAGGACCCTGCATTCACTATATCTGGTCTCACTCAGTACACAGAACATGGAAATGCAATTATGTTATTAAATATAAACTGCTAAATACCTTTTCTCAGCAGTATATAGCAGTCTTGTGACTTCTATCAGTGTCCAGCTGAGCACTGCTTACAGCTTGTAGGAGTTTTCATTATCCCCTGACTGTCTTATGAGGCTGCATAACCCTTAACCTTCTGTCTGGACAGAGTTGATTGGCCCTGTGCTGATCACACACACTCTCCCAAGAAAAGGAAAACCCTCTAGCAATATACACCAAACTGAGCATGTGCAGTTTGCCCCCAAGGCTCTCTTCTATCAGAAGATGGACTGGGGAAGGAGAGGATCAGAGAAGACAGGATCAAACAGCCTTATTACACAAAGCGGATGTGTACCCCCTTAGATTCTACAGCGAATATAGCAAGCATGCTTTACAGCATATACAGTCTGTATTTTACTGTTGTGGATTTAGTAACACTATATAGCCCAACTCTGGGCAACCAAAAAAAAAGAAAAAACCACACCACACAACAGGGACCAACACTTACATACAGTATACCCAGTGAAGTGCCTGGCCTCAGGTGATACACAAAGATGAAACAAATCCTCCCACACAAGTTGTATCTGTCATTAGCGCGCTTGATGAAAGCTGGCCGCCCCTGCACACAGTGTGGTGGTAGTGGGCTATACACTGTAGATCGAGGTACAGGGCAATGGACTGAACATACAGTCAGGTCCATAAATATTGGGACATCGATACAATTCTAACATTTTTGGCTCTATACACCACCACGATGGATTTGAAATGAAACAAACAAGATGTGCTTTAACTGCAGAGTGTCAGCTTTAATTTGAGGGTAGTTACATCCAAATCAGGTGAACGGTGTAGGAATTACAACAGTTTGCATATGTGCCTCCCACTTATTAAGGAACCAAAAGTAATGGGACAGAATAATAATCACAAATCAAACTTTCACTTTTTAATACTTGGTTGCAAATCCTTTGCAGTCAATTACAGCCTGAAGTCTGGAACGCATAGACATCACCAGACGCTGGGTTTCATCCCTGGTGATGCTCTGCCAGGCCTCTACTGCAACTGTCTTCAGTTCCTGCTTGTTCTTGGGGCATTTTCCCTTCAGTTTTGTCTTCAGCAAGTGAAATGCATGCTCAATCGGATTCAGGTCAGGTGATTGACTTGGCCATTGCATAACATTCCACTTCTTTCCCTTAAAAAACTCTTTGGTTGCTTTTGCAGTATGCTTTGGGTCATTGTCCATCTGCACTGTGAAGCGGCGTCCAATGAGTTGTGAAGCATTTGGCTGAATATGAGCAGATAATATTGCCCGAAACACTTCACAATTCATCCTGCTGCTTTTGTCAGCAGTCACATCATCAATAAATACAAGAGAACCAGTTCCATTGGCAGCCATACATGCCCACGCCATGACACTACCACCACCATGCTTCACTGATGAGGTGGTATGCTTAGGATCATGAGCAGTTCCTTTCCTTCTCCATACTCTTCTCTTCCCATCACTCTGGTACAAGTTGATGTTGGTCTCATCTGTCCATAGGATG